GAGAGATGATCTTCGTGATTCTTTCCAGAATGTGCCGGTGCTGTTTCGGCTGTACTTGCATTTGCTCGTTTTTCCATTATTTTCTGCAATGTCCCCTGGTATTTCCAATTCCAACCGTTTGCGCCCAGTTCAGGAGAACAAGACTCGACGACCAAGGTGTTTGTAAAGGCTGATGCCACTTACCACTTTTGATGTTAAATTGAAGGAGAGTTGCCGTAGGATGCAGCGGTATTCCCAGCGACCACGTCCAAGCTTTTACTTTGGAACCTTGCAGAAAAAACATGCAAGATGGTCCCAGTGATGTTTGTCGGCTTCTTCACCCATCTAAGAACTCTTGTTATATAGTACAATCTAATGGTGAAAAATCATAAACAAAATATCATGTTATATTTATGATTACCGATAGGCAACGGCAAGCTCTGGAGCCCAAATATCTATAGAGATCTATATAATGTCAACCCCGGATTAATAAACCATGGGCTATTATTTAGGGGGGTACTCCTCCAATAGTCATAATCTGATACTTAAATGGTACCCTCCCAATTAAACAGCTTAGGGGTTTATTAATCCAGGGTTGACAAAAAAAATGATTCTACGCTACTTAAAACACATACTCTCTGGTAAACTAACAGTTAGCCATGGAAAATCACCATTTTTAATGGGAAAACTCACTATTTCTATGGCCATTTTCAATAGAACACTACCGTTGCTACACAGCTCAACCAGTTCACCAAGACAGCCGAGGTCGGGCGAGCCGAAGGCCTATTTTTGCTTCGCCACCTTGGTGGCTGTTTTGAAGGTCCGGTTGAGACCTGGTGCCCGACCTGGTTCGCCCTGCCATCAAAAAACCACCAACGACCAGGGCTGAACACACCAGCCATAGAAAAATCATAGGAAAATGGAGGTTTATCCATGTTTATCCACTAGAAATGGAGGTTTTATATGGTTTTATCTGGGAAAATCATGGGAATATTAGTGGCATATACCCTCTGGTTATGACTAACAGTTCGCCATAGTATAGATGACCCATAGAAATAGATACTTTACCGTTCTTAAAAATGGTGGATATTTCCATGGCTATGTTAGTCATAACCAGATGGTATCCATTGATTATTCGTAGTGTTTTTGGGATGGGTTGTTGGGTTTAATATAATGGGATACTGATTCGTGGTTGGGAACATGACTTTTATTTTTCCATATATTGAGAATAATGATCCCAACTGACTAGTATGTTTCAGAGGAGTTGAAACCACCAACCAGGAATATGACATGTACATAGTGAAGATGAAATCAACCGTATGGTTGATATCGAAGCCATCTCAATGACTTGATTGATCCCCATCTCTATAACCGGTTTTCCCGGTGCCAGGTGATAAGATTGTTATGGCAAACCACTATAATTATACCTGCAAGGAGATAGAAAGCTCCACCATCCTCATATCCAGTGATCATATTGATGATTTATATTGATGTGATCATCAAATTTTATGGATAGAAGAAGAAACAATAAGAAGCACACGCGCCAAGTAACGATCTTTCAGTGGAAGATGATCATTGAGCCGTGGATACCATGGAAATTAGCCCATTTCCCGGCAAAGAGCACCATAGCCTGCGACTATGGCAAGGGTAATAACATATAGATACATATAATGGCAACGGTCTATTAATCCAGGGGGACCACCTGTTTTAAAATTGCATTTTTTTTAGGGGCAGTAGTGGTTGATTAATCGGGAGGGATTAATTAATCCTACCTTGACATTAGTAATATCATCAAATAAGTGAAAAGTTGCAAAGCTTGAAATTACAGAGAAAACATATGAACACATTGCCTATGAACATCCTCTACCATCCTGTATGTTTTTTTTTTCCCGGCTTTTTTTTCGCGGGTATTTGACATATGACCCGACACAGCATTGCAGGACTTGGGTTGGAGCAAAGATGAGCTTCAGCCTGGCTCCCCAAGATTGGAGCGATAGATCTTGGTATGGTAAATGGTAATTCGAGGGGAGAATCATCTATGAATACGTGATATGGTTTTTGTATCATGGTTTATTATATTTTATTATATGGTTTATAAAATATAAAGGGATACCGGTTGGTGGTTTCGAACATTTTTTGTTTGTCCATATATATATATTATTATATATTGGGAAGAATAAACCCAACTGACTAATTTTTTCAGAGGGGTTGAAACCACCAACCAGGATACTCGTGGGATAATAGTTGAATAATGGATTCACCTCTCGTAATCAAACCTGGTTTCATGAAAAAAGTGATGGTTATAGCTGGGAACATCATGTCATGGTGGGTTTTCCGAACTGCCACATTTGATTACCGGAGGGTATGGGGTATATCATGGGATAATGGGCATATTAATGGTTAATAATGGTTGTTTTCTGGAATTTCATGGAGTACATACAATAGTCATATGATACTTGGATGAAATTAATCTTGACACCACGTCGTGACGTGACTGGAATGATGCTTCATATTTGGGGTACCTATATGTAACTATCCCACCATGGCCAATTGTTTTCTGCTTGATATATGTTGCTTATCATCATTTGTCAATGTCATAGAATTGGATGATGGGACAATTTACAGGAAAACCCTATATTTGATAGTAAAAAACATGGTTTCCGGTGTAGATTTTCCCAACAAAACCAATCCATTGTCAATGATTGCTTTTCTTGAATGTCCATTACCCTCTGGTAAACTAACATAACTATGGAAAATCACCATTTTTTCATGGGAAAACTCTGTATAAATGGCAATTTTCAATAGCTATGTTAAATTACCGGAGGGTACCCATGAAGATGGTGGGATTCCTACGGATTCCTGTCCATGGAGCCCACTGATCCGACATATTCTGGTGACTCCCCGGGAAATATGTCATTGAGGTGACTGGTGTTGGATACTCTCTAGTTAAAAAAAAAGATAGTGGAAAAGCCGGGATTTCCCGGCGAAAAATGAGCTGCAAATAGATACAGATAGTACATCATTTTAAATTTAGGGTATCACCGCATGTACCAACCATTTCTATCCATTTCTTACCAACCATTTCTGATTCCAACCATTTCCGATTCCCCTGGTTCTCTAATGACTCAATGACTCGCAGGCGGGAGTATCTGATGAAAACCTGGCGGGATGTCACTGAAGGCGAGGGCTTGGGGAAGGGTAGTTTACCAGCAAGAATTGGGAGGCTTTGAATATACCAGTTAATAAACATGTGAATATATATATATAAACAGAAAAAGGATTAAGTGGGCGAAACTTCTTGTAGGAACAAATTAAGTACTATAGCAAAAAAATGTTTTGGTACCGGCGCCATTAGCGACCCTTAGTAATTTGAGCATCGTCCAAAAATGAAAAGAACTCAAACTCAAAACCTGCATTTCGGAGCCCTTTTCTTTGGAAGCCAACATTGCAAGGCTTCAGATTCCTTGGTATTTGCAAGAGGGCGAACATTTTATGCCTTTTCGCTAGTGAAATTGCGTGTTTCAATACTTTGTTTTTGGAAAAAAAACAGGATCACTTGTTTCCTGCAGAAAACAACATTTTTGGCTAAGTCTTTCAGCAGGTCATGGCAGTGATTGAAGCGATCTGCAAATGCCCACACATACTCTTGGAGTCTGGGGCTATCACGTTCACCGCAACCGCCAAACCGCCAGGCACAAACCGTTTTAACTGCCTCCAGACGTGATCTAGAGTCCCAGTGAATTTAGGCAATTTATATAGATGAAGTACCACCTATGTTAGATGCAGTTAACTTGAAATAGCCTAGCATCATGTATGTTAGTGCAAGTTAACCAGAAGTAGCGTCGCATCACCTATGTACTGTAGCATGTGTTTGGTTTGCAAGTGCTATTGAACATTATTGCACCCCCCTCACTTTCCCGCCCCCCCACCCCCCAACAAGAACAACAAGTAAGGTGGCATCATGTATCTTATCTTAGTGCAAGTCATCTTCAAGTAGTGCAGCATCATGATGTTAGTGCAAATTAACTCGAAGTAGCGTAGCATCATCCATGTTGGATGAAGTTAACTTTAAGTAGCGTAGAATCATTTATATGTGAAATGAGGTTTACGTTGAGCAGTGTAGCATCAGCGCTGAGCAGCGAAGCATCATCGTGCAATTGCTCCCCACCCCCCCACCCGAAACCACCGAAAGTCACCACCGCAACACAAGGAATAATGTGATGGTAAAATTTGCGTTTTCCTATGGGGTCACTAACAGCGCCGTTAGCAAACATATTCGCATTTTCAGGGGTTCCACTTTTGGTTTGGGTAGTTGATGTAGTTGATCCGTTTGCTGTTTTGCTACAGATTCCCATGTTACGAACCAGACATACCCCATCCGGTAGTCAAACATGGCAATGGGAAATCCTGCAAAAAATATGTTCCAAATGGTTTTAACATGTTCATGTTTGAACGGGAATATACTGGATAATAATATGTAAATGTATGTAAATGGTGGGTTTTCATGGATTTTCCATTGCCATCCTTGATTACCACGGGGTTTTTGGGTTGATTTTCAACTCAAAGGTGATTGACATTGGCCATTCTTAACACTTTGGCCTCTGGGGGTGATTGGCCTGTGAATGAACTAACATGAACTAACCTATGCACCAAAGCAACAATCCTAACCATTCCAACCGTATCATTAGTTATGCCACCTGCAAGGAGAAAAAATTCATCCTGCTACCCCTCCAGCCACCAGGTGTATGCCTCTTCGAGTGCCCCCTCGGGGGTATGTGTTTATTCAGCCTGACTTTCGGGTGCTGTCGTGAATGATAGCAGGGTCCATCCAAAACAGCGAGAGACTAGGATGGTATTTGGATCATTTGGGATCATGTTTCTCCCATAAATACAAGTGTCCAACCTGTTTTATCTATGAGAATCCATTACTGTGTAACATGCTTGTTGAGTTTGCTATGCTGATTGGTTTCATCAACTGGTCAACATCTTCTGCCGAGATCCAATGAGTATTGCCGCTAGTTCCGGTTCAAATCCATTAGCCCCGGCTGCGTTTCTTCTTCTCAGTGTCCCACACTCAGCTTGTGACGAAGATTAGCCCACAACACTTGCGGTAGCATTGTTGTCTTTGTTTAATTGTGTGACAAGTAAGAAGCTCAACTTATAAAGTCTAGATACGTGAGTATCTTTTTTTTTGAGATGAAATTTAGATACAAGGAAATCTGCATGATATGTTGCACAGGCTGATCATGTGTATTTTCCGTGTACAAACGCTGCTTATTTGGGTTTGCCTGAAGATTTGTCAATCATCACTTTCCCAGCTAAAATGACCAGTGTGGGGTGTACACCCTATGTTCAGAAACAAACACCATATATATATATATATATTTTATATATATTATATATATATTATATATTATATATATATATATTATATTATATATATATTACATATATATATATATTATATATTCATTCTGATATTTATTATGTTATATATTGTTTGATCTATCACGTTATATCCCATGGTTTTCCCATGTTAGCAGCCAACACCTTGGCTGCGAGGCCATGGGCTTCGGAAAGCTGGCCACGGCCTTTGCAGATCAAGTGGTCAGATCATATACTTAGTATACATCGTTATCAACCTAAAGATCTGATGTTGGGGGGTTTCCATAAATTTGATATAAATGGGGGTACCCCGAAATGAATGGTTTATAATGGAAAAATCCGATCATGGAAATTGGGAGGTGATGAATGGGAATTTCAGGGTCCTAAAATGGAGATACGTTAGTACCATATCATATAAGGCCATATTTTGTGGGGATATATCCCCTTACATAGGCCTTGTATAGGCCTTATATATAGTAGGTACCTCCAATTTAGAATCCTGAAATGGCCATTGACTAAAGATCTGATGATATTATTTAACATATTTAAGTATACACATTATAAAACTAATATATAACGATTTGTTGATATATATATATATACTGTGTATATATATATATATGATAGCCATTTGTTGATTTAAGCATTAGTTGATATAAGCATTTGTTGATATAACCATTTGTTGTTTTTCCATGGTCAAAGATATTTGTATGTTCGATCGGTATTGTATACAACAATATTGTGCCATTGAATGTCCCAATTGTTAACGCTCCAAACCCAATGATGGCTTGTGAAATGTCACATTTTGGTGAAGGAAATCAACATGTTTGGTAAAACCAATGCCATACACCACCCATTTGGGAGTGGTTGGAATCCCAGCTATAAAAATGGTGATTTGGAAAATTTGGGGGATGCAAATGGCATTGTTTTACCCACATTACTTGGTTTCTTGTCCTAGGTCCGGGTATGCCCATCCCAATCTTCGAAACCTGGGACTTGTTTGCAGGGCCTGGAGCTGCGTGAATACTACGCCGCGGCCTGCGGTCATTGTCAGGATGGGAGATGACGATCTGGATGGTTGATATATACATATATATATATATGTGCCCTTTGGTGATTTAACGTAGCTATAGACCCATCTGTAGATGATTTATGATGATTTACCTATTAAAAATTGTGATTTTCCATGGCTACATTAAATAATCAGAGTATATATACATATAATTATATATAGGAAGGTATCATGGAATAACTGATAATGGCATATTGATGGCAAATCATGGTTTTAGGGATTGAATGTGCAATATTATTTATATATATATATATGTATATGTATATGTAAGTATATTTATATGCTAGGATATCTAGATATATTCTGTGAACATTTTTTTTATTAATGGCATATCAATATAGATCAGTATGAATGGTGAATAATGGGAACCAGGTATAATAGATATAGCTTCCATGGGTTAAACAAGTCGCCGCTTCCAGATCCTCCAGGCCCTGGCGCCTGCCTGGAAAGCAGCCCAGAAGGCCTACATCGGTCCGGTGACCTTCCGTCCCTTGGGCCTTCCGTCGATCGTCATGGGGAATATGGTAGTTATATCCTAGCATGGTTACATATAGATCTAAAACTGTATGGTAGTTATATCCTAGCATGCTAGTTTTAGTCAAGTCTGAGAACTATGGTTACACATAGAAACCGGCATGGTAGTTGAAAACCATAGTTCTAAACGTGTATATCTACATAGATGTTTCAAACCCATGGGTGGTTAACCTAGTCGGAAAATTGTATCGACGTGAAACCGGTGGGTAACTTCCACATGAGTTTTGTATACCCTAGATCGGTGATTTTTGTGACTTCCAAGCACATGACTGGTTGGTGGTTTCAAACATGTTTTATTGTCCATTTCATATATGGGATGTCATCCTTCCCATTGATGAATGTTTTGCAGAGGGGTAGGTCAACCACCAACCAGTATATCAATTGGATAACCATTAATAGCCATTAATAACCATTAATAACCATTAATAACCATTAATAACCTGATGATGTTTTTAATGTGCTCCTGAGGTCAGATCGAATGCCATGATCAGAACTGGAATCCCGTGCCCGAAAACACGGAGCTCTGCAAGGACCGCTTAGGGTAGCCGCAGCGCTAAGGGCTGCGCCGCGTAGCTCTCCGCTACCGCAGTGCTGCTGGGGATCTCCCAGGTTTCAGAGGAAATCCCCAGAGTTGACAAGAAAACTCCTGGTTTTTGGAATTTCCGATGTAAGATGAGCAAGAGGTTTATAGAGGTTTGCTGGGGACAGTTCCGCTTATCATAGCTGTTTCACTGTATCTAAGCTTGCATGAAAGAGCATGCCGTTTATATGCGTTTCTCCTTGCTGGTAATCAATCTCTTGAAATCCATTGCATGTAATTCTTGGTTCTGAATTCATGTCAAATCCCATGTTTAAACAAACAGTGTTGATTCTTCTCCTCTCAGTTTTCAAGTTTTCGAGTACTACAGAAAACCATAATATATATCCTCCTTGAAATTTCCACTACGAAAAGGTAGGGCATATCCCCAGTACAAGGCTTGTTCTGTATACCTAAATGTGCCTAGTCCCCGAGGGTATTGCCATAACTTTTTGTATCCAGTTCATTTTTGATAGTTGGCCTAGGTTGGGAAATTGTTTTTGCAGAGCTTTCAGCTCTATGTTTTCAGAGGCTTATCTTGGGATACCAGACCCCGGCTTAACCAAATTGTAGCAAGGTTGGTTCTGTTTTTGTAGGCTTCCATTTTGTACCTACCAAGTATGTGCATGCATAAAGCTGCATGGAGTGGATGTGCAGACTTTTTTTGGTAACAGCCTGCCATGACTCACGCTACCTTGTCAAATTCTTGCACCTCGCCCTTTCTAGATTCTAGGTAGCTTGGCTGCCCACACTGTTCCTTGCAAGATAATATATATATATGTATAATATATATATGTAATATATATATATATATATATTTATATTTATATATTATTTTTATTATTTATTATATATATATATATTATATCTTATATTATATATATATATATTTTATCTTATGTATATATATATAATATTATATAGTTTTTACATATTATATATATATATAAATCTATGTGATTATATGTATATATTACAATCCCTTCAAAAAAGGAAAGTCTCATGACTATGTCCATACCGTGATAGGGTGTTTCTCAATTTTGAATTGCGTGTGTTTCTCTATTTTGCATTCATGTTTTGAGCTGCTTCTTCTTCAGCAGGCTCATTGAAAAGGATGGTTGAATGACAGTTTGGCTTACCAATGCGAAATAAAAAATCCGGCCCTTCCCAATTTGTAGCGGAGAGATTACGCGTGCGTTTGTTTTTCGATGTCTTTCGCTGCCCTTTTGTTTCACATTACATGTTCAAACACCTTGAGAAAGCGGCCGTTGGTTTCATGACTATTTCCTGTATGTTTTGGCTTGCTACATGATTTTGTGTTCTTGCTTTTGGGCAGCTGCCCTTTCGACTACGAAGCATCCTCAACAATGCTAGTTAAGAATGGTGGTGCGTGACCAGAAAACCTTGACATGCAACCTAAAAATCACTTTTTGTAGTGTCTGGATGCTGCCCTTCCCAATTTGTAGCGGGGAGATTGCGCGTCTTTCTTTTTGCAGGCTCCTCGCTCATACCTGCGAAACAAACCATCTTGTTCCTGCGTTGATTGTTCTTTTGGCGAGCAACTGAAGAAGCAGTTTACCTGTGTCATGCTTCCATCCTGGTCATGTACTAGCACCCGGCATCAAAATCATGTGTTGCATTGCACACTTTTATCAAGCCATAAGGCAGGTTCCATCACACTGTGCCCTGTTACCCATGTCTCCTAAGTTGCCTGTCTCCACGTCCCCAAGTGAAACCCTAAAGGTATGGAGTTCAAACAGAGAGGCAGAAGAGGATGCTGGCCCCCAGGTCCCCCCAACTAACCCGCCCAAGTCAAACTTTGCGAGGAAAGTAGATCCAATATGATCTATAATTAGTTTAGACTAAGAACAACTCGCCTCAAACCAGTCTGGAAGGATCATTCCAGAGACTTCCAGCGGCCATAGCTACAAAAGGCAAAATATGCAAAGATTTGCCAAGAGTTCTTGTGTTTTCCTGGTTGGGACTCCTATGTCAAGATAGGCTACAAAAAGACCCTTTGGAACAGACGTCATGCCCAGGGAGCGCTAGAAAAAGAAACGACTTCGGCAGCAACACTGGGCAGCTACAAAAAGCACTTCTGGATTCGCAGATCCTTCTTTTGGTGGTTTTTGAAGCCATTTGGTCTGTGCCTGACCTTTTTGTATCTTAAACAAATTGGTTTTTGTAGCGATTTTTTTTTAGTGGATTTTGTTTTCTGTATTGTTGGGGGTTGTACCCAGCCAGAAGGTACCTACATCAAGGGAAGTAACCCTCACCCCCCAAATTTCAACGGGGATTAATATATAACCATTTTAACCATAGGCATCCACAGGCCATAGGCCCTTTTTCCGCTGAACATCCCACCATGTTGAAATTGAACAGATTGCCCCATCGCTTCATCCTGGTTCATCCTTTTTCGTCAAAGACGACGGGAACCAGGACATCAGGGCCTTTCCCACCATCAAGCCGCTCGGATCTGGCGATCCCTCGTGGATGGATGAAACGGATTCACAAGGATTGATTCATCATGGATATTATACATCATATTATATATACTTAAGATACACGAATATCAACCAGGTCTATTTGCAGCCTATTTCCAGGGTGTTGGTCCTTGAGAAGGAGAAACAGTGCCATTTTTTTGACACAGATCCTTTCTGATCTTTTTTTGTTGGACGCACACAATTTGTGATTTCTGAGTCATTCAGGGTTCGATGGTTCGATTCTTTCCATCCTACGGTGATCATTGATTGCCACCCACAAACCACTGAGGCAACCAAGTGCCAAAAAAAAACAATTGACCAAGCTATGCAACTTGCGCAAATCTTACCTGAAAAGTTTCATTAAAGTAACATAATTAAGTAACATCCTGGAAGTAGATTTGATGTGTTCTATCATTTGTTTGCTTACTGTAAGCCATTCCATCAATCACCCCATCCAATGATGGATAGAATCGGATAGAAGTAGCATAACCATGCATAAACCCTAGTTACATTTACATTACTTTTGTTTACCAACTTAGCTGACGAAAACTGGGGCCCTTGCAAGCAACAAGCCATTCCATCAACCATCATCAACCAATAGTGATTATGATTAAACCATATTTTAACCATATTAAACCCTTAAAATGACCAGATTTTTTCTGGGTAGATCACTCTTCTTCACCATTTTTGCTGGTCAACCGTTCAACCCCCGGTGTTTTTTTCCAACCAAACGGGCCGCGCCATGCACCGCACGACGGGCCCCAGGATGTTCAAGGACGGCAAGGAGCTTTCGGACTACGAGGGCAATCGCAGCTCCGCGAGCCTGGTGGACTTTGCCAAGCAACATGAGATCCGCAGTGGCACAGTGGGATGGTGGCTACCATGGTTAATGTCAACCCCGGATTAATAAACCATGGTTTATCAATTAGGGGGGTACTCCTCCAATAGTCATAATCTGATACTTAAATGGTACACTCCCAATTAAACAGCCTAGGGGTTTATTAATCCAGGGTTGACATTAATGATGGTTAATGATGGTTAATAGTGGTTAATAGTGGCTAATACTGGTTAATTATGCTGGTGGTGACTGGAACCATAGAATTTGATGACTTTCCATAGGTTGGGAATGTCATGATACTGACGAACTCATATTCTTCAGAGGGGTAGGTATACCACCAACCAGGTCCAGGTATGGCTATTTTCATGCTGTGTTTCTGGATCATTTTTGGGAATATACCGTACCCTTTGATAGGAAAATCCACGAGTTTGAATAAAAACCAAGTATATAAATCATCATAAATCATCTATAAACGGGCCATTTTCCATGGCTAGGTTAAATAAGCAGAGGACAATTGGAATATAATGTGATAGTGTAAGCCCAATTTCATAAACCATCCCCAATTTCACCAGAATTGCTTACGGTTGGAATTAAATGGTATTAACCATATATTAAAAGAAAAACAGAACAGGGGAGAGTGGGAGTGCAACTTTTCTGCATATTACTTCAAAACCTCAAACAAATTTGATCACAAAGCACACATGAATTAGCTTTTGAAACCTTAACCTATGTTGAACACAAACAAAAAAAACTGCAACTAAAAAACAACAAAAAAGCTAACCCTATGTCCCAGTCACTCATGGAACCCCATGGGCTTGTTTTTTTTGGTGCTTGTTTGTTTGTTTGTTTGTTTTTGTTTTCTCGAGATTTTTGCAACTTCTGCCTTCTGCCCAAAATTGCCAAAAACCAATGGAAAAAATAAACAAACAATGAAGGTCTATGAGTGGTTGGCCCATGTCTACTCAGTCACATCTCATGCATATCATCCACGTGTGCATTTTTTGCTGATTTTCTCATGGTGTGTGCTGATGTTCTCATGGTTTGGGCACCCTTCCAGAAAGTTACCTGAAACCATGGGAGGAAATGCATCACAGCCGCGACTTGAAAATAGAATCGGCCAACTAGTTTCAGCATGGCCTTTGAAGTTTGTTTTCAAAACAAAATCCTCCAATACATGCCTCGTGCAGCAAGACTTTTTCCCAAGAATATGACATTCCTTGCTGTTTCAAAATGGTTTGGCTTACCAGGGTGTAGTAATCTCTCAATACTATTTCCCCTCCACCGACTAGTTGTATTTTTTTGCTTTTTTGTTTTTTTTGTTATGGCGGCATTTTCATTTGGATGACCATTTTGCAAGAGACATTAGGCATGATGATGTGTATGAAGAATTAGCACCAACGACTTACTGTAAAACTAACAAAAACGCGAACTCCCACTGTCCCCCGCTCTCTAAAAAACTGGGTTTGTATTATTATTACTATTATGACTACGATCATTGCTATTATTATTGGGTGATTAGTGGGCAAGCAAATGGTAATGTACTGTTATGGAATGTATTGAATTGTATGGGTTTACGGGGATATGGGAAATAGTGGAGAATATCATGGGATGTACTGGCTATTTGGTTGGTGGCTTAGGGCGCTTCATGATTTGATCCTAAATATCTACTGGAGCCTAGATCGTGATGTTTTTTTTGATTCACTGGGCATGTTTGGAGCCATTGAGATATAAGCTATGTACTGGCTGATGGTGTTTCCAAGTATACTGTACTTGGTGTGATACCCAATGACGAGCATATTTGTTCAAGGGGGCATGTAATCACCAACCAGTATAGTTTTCAACATAACTCCTCATGCTTTTTGTAGGTGAATCTTTCGCTTCCAAACTTGGATGAGGGACGATGAGGGGAAACATTCACAGCGAGCTTCCATATGTTACCTTAAAGGCACGGTGATGATTCCTGGCAGCTATTCTTTCGTGAGCCTACCCCATTCCCCAATGTTTGATCATTTCTTCTAGCTGAACCTTTCTCTTTCAGATTTGATCAGAATTGGAAGAAAGCTACAGTCCTACCAAAAATAAAAGATAAGAAACTACGCAACATATTTTAATATATTTATTAATACTCTGATAATTATACCAATGTTGTGCACTAAATTGAATATTAGCAATCGGTATAAGCATTTGTAATTGGCTTCCAATCCTATTATGCCGTATTAGTCTTAGTAAAACAAGAATAAATCACCGATATTTTGATTTTGCTCATACCCATCCAAATGGTAAGTCATTGGGGATGGCGGATCCTATTGCTTTACTCGCATTCATGATTTGCTTGATCATGCATTAATGATTAATAATTACTATGAAGTACTACTATGGCTCATTAATAGTACTATTATGGATCATTCATAATCACTATTCATCATCCATTAATGATTAATAATTTGCTTGATCATTCATTAATATTATATAATCATTATTACATAGTTACCATTGCCTTACCACCGCACCCCAAACCCATCCAAGCCACTGAGCCCAGGAAGCTGTTGAAGCAGTCCGCCCTGCCATTGCTGGCCGCAGCTCTTCCGCCTGCCTCATCTTCCCGGCAACGTCAGGCATGGCGGCGCGGGGACCGTGAGGTGCACGAAAGCTCCAGCCGAAAACATGGGAAATGAATGGCAATTAGGGTTTACCCTCTGGTAAACTAACATAACTATGGAAAATCACCATTTTTAATGGGTAAATCCACTATAAATGACCATTTTCAATAGCTATGTTAAATTACCAGAGGGTAACCACTACCTAGACCCTCCAAGTACCAATAAACACGAGATAAAAATGGCGGTTCGCCATGTTTTAGCCAAGTTTAGGACCTTGACCATTTTGTTCAGATATTTGGAGGGTCCAGGTATGTATTCTAAATGGGGAATGACTGGTGGTTTATTAGGGGAAATATTGGGTATGTATATATATATATATAAATAGATTAGATCGATAGATAATGTTGTCAAACTGGTGTAAACCGAACATTTATATATATATATATGTATTTATTTATAGATAGATAGATAGATAGATAGAGATAGGTAGATAGCTATGAAAAATGGCCCGCTTGTAGACGATATACCGTTTTTTTCTCTCCATAGCTATGTTAGATCACCGGAAGGTATAACCCGGAACTATCCATGTTTTTTTGGTTTACAACTGAACAGTTTTTTCCTGGTTGAAGTTTTACTTGGAGGCAGCGGCCACATGTTATCATGACATCACTGGGATGATATGTTTTTCATGTTGGTGAGTTACCGCAATTTATCCAAATAAATGTACTAAAATTTCTGGAGATAGATAAGGGGCCTATCTTAATTTTTACATGTTGATACGGTAGAGGCATTTTATGTGTATAGATCTTTAGTGCGCTTGCAGCTCACAATTTGGACATATCTTGGTTGGAAATGTGGTGTCTTGCAGGACTTTAGCCTTGTTGGGAGGGGTAGATATACAGCAAGTTACTCGTGAATTGCTGACTGGCACAATCGCCCCAGCAACTACAAGATTGTAGGACGCTGTCACATTATCCTTTGAATGGAGAGTCCCCAATTTACTCAAGATTTACCTATCAGATGGGGATCAAGTTCATCAGTTCGCTGCTTCCCTGGAAATGTGACTCACTTTTGTGTCCAGGCGGCTGCGTTTCTATAGGCCACATATCGGCGCAGAACTCGGCGCCTGGCTTGGATGCAGGCACAGATGGGTCCAAGATCCTCTGGTTCATCCTGATTTGCTCATGAATTTTATGTAAATTTGGGGTACACCCCTCATTCGGACGCCATTTGACATCATTTGACATATGAGATCATGTGAGAATATGAAGTTGAAACAACCATTTGGGTATATGTTGGATCATCTATAAAACACCTCCATTCCGTTGTCCCAAATCTGTGGTTTCATCCCGTACATCCCCCACGGATTCTTGTGGGTGTTCAAAATGAACCTGGGAATGGGAAAATTAACATCCTTTAAATGGGGGATTTTCCAGCAATGACTGATTACCAGAGGGTATGTGCAACATAGCCCTCAAGCCAAGGTATTTAAGTGGTACCCTCTGGTTATTTAACATAGCCATGGAATCCATGGCCCATTTATAGATGATTTTCCCAGCTATAAACCTCCATTTATTTTGGGGATTTTCCATGGCTATGTTAAATAACCAGATGGTATTTTGGAAAATGTTTTTTTTACCACTGTAATCCAGTGGTCTAAAAACCTCATTGCATCTCATTGCTTTCCAGGTTTCCCAATTTTATGACTATTCGATTCAACTGCCAATAAAGTTGTATGCGTAAAATTGGATTATTAGTAATATATATATATATGTATATGTAACTATCATATCCTAATGTTTCATTACAAATTTTCAACTATTAGTATGTCTATTCTTGTTGGTGCTTTGAAATACTTCTCATGTTGAATCCTGGGATGATGCTGCCCAACGACGAGCAGGCTGAAGCCATCAAGCCAGTGGTTGGACCAATTTGCTAAATTTGCTAAGTTACTTTAAAACTAATACACGTAGGTTTTTTGGCAGATGTGTATGTATAAATATATATGTGTGTGTGTGCGTTTTGAATACACTTAGGGTTATGGTATAACTTGGTATAACTATAATATATATATATAATATTTGCAATATGCATATACGGATGCACACACACATACTGTATATATATATATACAGAACATAGAACTGCATAGAACGGAACAGCTAGCCTCCGGTAATCAAACATAGCAATGGAAAACCACCCATTTATAGATGTGTTTTTCCATTGAAACTTAAAACAAAAAACCCTCTTTTGTAGAGGATGTTCAATTGCCTTCAATTGCCACGTTTCCAAGCTTCAAGGCCCAACCTTTACTGCAACCCCCGCTGGCCAGGCATATGCAATTGGCCCAATTTCCACGAGAGGAGGCCAAAATTCACTGCGGAAATTCGCAAACATCGCTGACTCCACTTGGTGAGCCGACTGGTGCGGACAAGGTTTATTTTTAGATATTTTTTGGACAGATGGGAAACTACTATACATATGTATAGGTTTACAGCTTTGATTAGGCTTGGAATTATTTTTCTTGTGCGTTTTCCAAGATTCTCACGCCGCACCCAACAGCAGAGCGTTTGAGTCAATCCTATGGTACGCACTGCGGCGGTTCAACCATGGTGATGTTTGCTACTTCTGGATTCAGTCTTGCAGTAGTTTCGTTGCCGGTGAGCAAATGGCCTTGGCCACTGTTGATACGGTCGTGTGCAAACTAGTGCTAGGTGCTACCACGAAACAGTGGAAATTAGGGTCCTACACAGTTAGAAAGACTGGTGGCGATATCCCCAGGTGTGGATACCTATTGTTAGTTAGTTGCATCCCCTCCATTGTTATGGCTCAAGTCTGTTATTGTTACTGTACCCAACAGAACGGTATGTTATTGATCAGGTGGCCGGGCTGACGCGTCTCGTGACTTCGGTCAGAGGAGGAAGTATTGGATGCGGAGGGAAAAATGCCGAGGATGCAATTACATCCGAGGACTGCACAAATGCATGCAGTCACCAGCTTCCCATAGACATCCTATTACTGAATCACCGATTCACTGAGTCATTGATTCACTGAATCATCCTTTCATTGATTAATCAGTCCATTGCTTCATTGATTCATTGAGTCACTGATTTATTGAACCATTGATTCATTCATTCGCTGTTCCATTGATTCATTGACTCATCGATTCATTGGTTCCCTGCTTGGTTGATTCATTGAGTCATTGCTTCGTTGCTACATTGATTCACTGATTCATTGATTCATTGGTTCATCGATTCATTGGCTCATTGGTTCATTCACTCAGTTCTGCGCAGATTCTTTCATGTCAGTTCATTGGCATCTCAACCACCAGTTGCTCATTCGTTGATGCACCTCACAACTTCAACCGCTCATGACTTCTGCATCTCAAAAACGTTCCTGTAGGCCATTGATTTCTTATAGTCACCTCCTATTTCGAAGCTTCCGCCCCGGCCCTTGCCGGGCACTATTGTAGAATCATATTATATATTATATATACATATACATACATATGTGCGTGCATGCGTGTGTGTGTGTGTGTGTGTCTATGTTTAGACATTCAATGAATGCATGACTGTGTAGGCCTTGGGATTGTGATGGTATGTATATTGGCTGCCGCCATTTCCTGCCCTACTTGTTCCATGATGCAGTCACTTGAAGCTAGGACTCAGGACATGAGCCAGTCGCAATCAACAGTGAGGAGGCACATAAATGATTGAATAAACTGACATTATTTCACAACATATTTCACCGATATACCCTTTCAAGAAATCAAGTGAAGTCGCCATCCTTATTCGACCTCTCAAATCTCAGACGGCCCGCTGAACAGCGAAAATGCCAGGCGCCCCGCACTTGCGTTGGTAACTAGACAGTTCTAATCACCATGGGATTGCCAGAGTTAGCCTATATTCAAAAAAAATAGCTATCGTTGGTTTCACCTTGTATAGCATCCCATACGGTATGGCCCATACGTAAGAAGTGTCACTCAATGATGTGTTAGTCGCATCTATTTGCCAAGGCCTTTCTTGCAGCTTGGTGGTGGATGTCGGTGGTTTCATCCGGATGGTAGAAATCTTCACTACCAGAGGGACATTTGAAACCAACCAGCATCAAAAAACAAAGGTCTTGGGATGTCTTGGGTACCTGATCCCGACCTGTTTTTTTGCTGGCCATTCTGATCTTCATCCCTTCCGATCACGTTTTCTGGGCAGGGCTGACGTCATTCGCTGATGCAGCCATGCTCTCAGGGAGAGCTTGGGCCCAGAAGACGCGGTAGACGTCAATATTGTTACTACCCTTTGGTAATTTATCAATAGCTATTGAACATGGCCATTTGTTAATAGTTGAATATAGTTGATTGACACACACGCACAAACACACACACAGATATATATATATATAAAGTGATTTTCAATAGTTCTAGTATATTAGTTCACCAGAGGGTGCTATGTTTGCTATGTATTACTCCTTTGGGGATCTGCAAGGCTAGCATTGAACCCAAATCGATTTGGACATGTCTGATTTTCTGTGTCAAACCCACTTAAGCGGAAGGTATACCAGGTAAGCCCTAATCCACGGCCAGTTAGATCATATTAATATACTAGAGGTTTATCACATTCTATAGCATGTTTTATTGTCCAGATGTTTCCCATCCATATATACAACTTTATACAACTACTATATCAGGATCAACACATGCCAACTGCATAATGTAGCTTACCGTCTGGTAAACTAACATAACTATGGAAAATGACAATTTTTAATGGGTAAATCCACTATAAATGGCCATTTTCAATAGCTATGTTAGTTTACCAGAGGGCAAATGCATAGTGTAGACCATACATAAACCATCGATAGATCCCATTTCAAGCTGGCCACCCACTGCTCGATGTGCAGTGAAGAGCCTAAGGGCCTGGAGCTGCGCGAGTACTACTCGGCAGCCTGCGGCAGCCTGGAAAAACCGGGTACCATGGGCTGATGCGAACTGAATATCATATAAGATGCATTTAAGCAACAAATCATTGGGTTAACCCATGGGCTTATGTTACTGAATTGCGACTTATAATGATTTATATATGGTAATTTTCAAAGCATAGCCTAGCTATGGAAGATCACAATTTATTTCATAGGTACATCATCTATATGAGCATATGAGCCATAGCTATATGTCAAATAACCGGAGGTTAACGATGGGAACTTGAACGATGCCACCGTCTCGTCATACCGATACCGCTGGAATGTGACAATGATCATATGGCCCATCGAGAATGGTCATAAACGCTTGGATTGGTTTCAGGAAACAAAACAAAAGGAACCCCTAGATTTGAGGGTAAAACCATGGTAATACCATGGTTCTTCAGCTAAGACGGCTAAGATGTTGCATATCTTCCCAATCCATTGGCCATCAGGGCCTCAGGGCGGCCTGGGGACGTTCCCTGAGGTCATTGTCAACAAATGGCGCCCGCGTGGAAGGAGGCGGCGGCCAACTATTCCGGACCAGCTCCATGGCATCGAGGCGATCTTCAGGTGACATCCGTGGTTTTTTTCTCAACTCCGGATGAATAACCCCCTAGTTTACTAATTGGAAGGGTACCATTTATAAAGGAAAAACATACTATTTTGATTATTTTGGGAACCCTCCATATAAATTATATAATTGGGGGTTTGTTAATCCGGGGTTAACATTATAATAACCATGGGTCAATGGGTATAACCATGGTATTTAACTCCACAATTCCGGCGACAGATATCAACTTTTTTTTTGGCACTGTACCCCCAAGTAAGTAGGGTTGGGTATTTTGTATTTTTTTATGTTTAAAACCAATAAGTCTGTTACGTTCTACGAAGCAATCACCACGAATCGACGAATCGGGGACTTGCTTACGGAGGGTTCGACGAATCGGACCTAGATGCTCCATGGTGCTGGTATATTTACCTACCAAACTGGGTGATTTTTGTTGGGGTAAATGTTGATACATATTCCAGCACCATGGGGCCCCCATGGGAAAAAACAAGGATCATAGTGAGTACAGTGTCATTATACTAAGGATTATACCAGTTTTCCTGGATCCTCAAGTGATTTACTAGTGTTGATCCTCCAAGATGTCACTTAAGGAGGACTGTAACGTGCTACGTCCCGTTGCCACGGGCCTGGCAACGCCACGGATCCCGGTGGACTATGGGATGTGCGCTGCCCCTACCACCAGTTCAATAAATGCTCGGTAAAAAAGATTAGAACAAATACCTTCTGGTTATTTAACATAGCTATAGAAAATCACATTGTTTTAATAGGTAAACCATCTATAAATGGGCAATGTTCAATAGCTATGTTAGTTTACCAGAGGGTATGTTATTATATGTTTATATCATCTCATATCCATATGTGTATATAATCTGTATTATATATATGATTATATGATGTAATTGTTTATAACCAAATATATCAAATGTATGTCAATGACTGTCAATGTCAACCCCGGATTATGAATCCTCGGTTGATTAATGTTAAGTACCATAATGTCGGGGCACCCGCGCAATGGTAATAATTTGCTACGTTAATGGTATGTACCCACTTTCAACAGCCCAGTGGTTAATTCATGCGGGGTTGACATTACTACAAATGAGATAACCAGTCAGACTGCACTCAGCAGTCCAAGCACTGCAACACTCAGGTTGCATTTCGCCAGATCGAATGCAATGATCAAGATTGGAAGCCTGTGCTCAGGTTGCAGTCAGTCAATATTTGAGAATAACAATGACAGAAACTTGCTTATCAGGGTGTCATCTAAATGATGCAGTAGAAACGCGCTTTCCAACTTGTTTTTCATTTGATGGTGCTGTTTGTCTCAATCTTTGTTGGCATCTCCACAGCGGTCTTACCTTCCCATCTCTTCCCAGACATCAGCCCCATCTTTGGCCCCACAGGTCGAGGAAAATGTGGACCTGTGCAAAGATGTCGAAGCATTTCCAACCATTAAGACGCTTGGCCACGGAATTACGGATGGCGAGCTGGGCCTGCCCAATCGGTGTCCCGAGCTCGCTCAATCCCCAGGGAATGAAACAACCGATGCAAACCATGAAACGCCGATCTGCACGGGTTCTCACATATCTTAGCGTCCCCAAATCTCAACCAAACTTCCGGCTAAGTTTGCTCTAATCTGAGCCAGTGTTGACTTCTGGGATATCTTGGGAAATGAATCTAAATCAAAATAATTATCCATGTTCTATATTTTTCTATGATCTAGCCACTGGTAGCCAGAGAAATCCGGCACATTCCGGCACCGGAAGACTTGCGCTGAGAACTGGGCGGGTCATAGGGGGCCAAAAACCAATCTTACCAGTCTCCTTTCAAAACTGAAGACTCACACTGAAAGATGACCTAATTGAGAAAAAAGAGAGACATGGACAAGTATAATGACAAGTATCCTTATCTTAATT